AAATTTACAACACATTTTTACGACACTGGAAATTATATTGATTTATCGAACTTTTCACCTTTTATATTATAAATATATCACATGTTTAAAAGATAAATACAAATAAAATTACTACCGATTTTTTTTTAATAATTGTATGATTATAGAAACATGAGGTAAGTGTAATGATTTACCAAAATTGTATTTTCCAACTATACGTGTGTCACACATAATATAATACATTGAGTATTGTAAAGTAAACTATCGAGGTGACATAAGGTGTATTTAATTGTTTTGTCACAAATAATATCTCTTAAAAAAGTATCGCTACCTAAGTTCGATACATCTTAATGCACCATACTAAACGCGCGTGTATCTCAATTGAAGCTATTGTGGCGGTAAGGCAATATGCTCCAAATCTAAAAGGAATAAAGGTAAACAAAAAAAAAAATAATGAAAAATAAAAAAGTTGTACGGGCGACTCCGGGCGGGACTGTCCAGCCAGTATTAATATAATATGTGACATAGTTAATAACGAAGTTTTTTGACGGGAACCGTCAGTATCCAATAGTGAAGGTATAAACAATGATCCATCACAAAACTTGTGAGCATTGTAAAAGGAAATTTTTGATCATGAATAGTTTTAGTACGTACATCCCGACATTAAATTACGCTCATTAACTTTAAGTATAATCACGGTACACAACATTGAATATACTCTCGAACATTTTCCATGCGCATTCTCAGTGATTTTTAAATTATACTTTACAGCACGATTTTTTTATTTTTTTGTGCCATTTTTTAATTTTATTTTGTTAAAATATACCTGATATTAATAGTATAGCTATCATTCGAGTAATAGTACGAAACGACAGAACATGACTAAGATGTTCAATTATTTTAATTGTACTGTGTTGTCCTGCAAAATAGTTTTTTCAGTCGTGCTACGGGTGTCGTAATCTTGTTTCTAGTCAGCTACTACCATAGATATGTATACACTCACTATACTATATGTATATTATATTGTAGAATAAAAAATACATATCGATGGCGACAGTGGCGTGCCCGGAGATTTTCAAGAGAAGGGGATGTAACAAATAAAAATCGTGAAAAATGAGTAAAATCGTCTTCTCTACCCAACTCGTCTATGAGAATTGGTCATTTAAAAGCACAATCCTAAACAAATAGCCAATTTCTAATCAGTATGTCAACCTTTTTCTCAAAAATGGGTCGAAATTTAAGAGTTTTTATATTATATTACGCATATTTTTTTGTATTTTTAAGGCAATGGGAGGATATGACCCCTAACCTCCGCCTGGCTATGCCGCTGATGACAGGTACATATAGCATATACTTTACTATACTATGTAGTATATACATCCCGAGGGTACATAATATGTACGTACCATTAACTATTTAATATGTACTACACATTTTGTAGTGTACGTATATGTTACTGTGAATATCCATAGTTGGTGAATGCTGACAGTCACCGGTTGATGTCGACTCACACCTCCAAAATTAGTGAATGTTGAAAAATAAAAATAAAATTGGACATTTACTAGTGAATATCGACATTCAGATCAGGACTTTGGTCAATGTTACCATTCATAACACGGTTTTGGTTAATGTTGTCATACGTCATTGTATGTATATTGTATATAAAGTATACAAGTGTTTAATTTAATCAAATTATTATTATTATTATCATACAAAAATAATTACTTATTAATTGTTTTATTACTTATCGCAACATGGCCAACTGTCATGATATTTTCCAGCGAAAGTTGCCCAGAAGAAACTTTTTTTTTAAATAAAATATTTATAAAATTATTAATAAGTTTGTAAATCATCTTTTGAATAATGTATAGGTACTAAGTAGTAAAATGTTTAAATTGATAATAACTATTTCATTATTGTAAACAATAACTTTAATAACAAAAATGTTGTAAATCAATATCCGCATTACTAACATTCACCAAAATCGTTTTATAAATGTCGACATTCACTAGTGAATGTTTACAAATAGTACAAATTTAATCGATATGCCAACATTTACCAATGACTTGTGTGTATCGACATTAACCGGTGACTGTCAGCATTCACCAACTGCGAAAACTCACAGTAACATATGTACTAAACACTATAATATTATGCATAATATCTTGTGTCTAGTCGGTGACCGGCCATATTTCCGACAACACATCTCCAGTTAAGAACAACTTTAATTTTTTTATCAGGCTTTTTTAGATAAAAGACAATTCTTATAAAGCAATTAACCGGGAAAAAAATATTATTTTTACACGATTTAATTATTTGAAATTAGTACCTACCACGTTGTCTAGCACAAATATGGCTTCAATTGAAAAACGACAAGTGACTCTTTTTATTGAATTTTTAATCTTGTTTTTAATGATGCAGGTCGTTTTTTAATTGTCATATCAGTTTTCATAATAATCGGGAAAAAACGTAGGTAGGTTAAGTTAAAACAAAATATGGCACTTCAGATTATGTATTATGTATATTACTGAACTTCGCTCAGAATCGACTTTCTGCAGCGAAGATTTATCGTTGCTTACAGATATAAATTAAATAACAACATACATCTTAACTTCCCAATTTTTTTTTTATAACAGTTGCCGCAGCTGTCTCCAGTATCAGCTCTTTTTTATTTTGACCATAACTCATAATAGTTAATAATAATCGCTTATAACTAAGTGTGTGTGGCACTGGCAACCGTGTACCTACGCACTG